TTGAAGGAAGGATCAAAGCCCGTTAGTATGAAACCCTATAAGTACCCTTCAACTATTGATACTAAGAAGTTGGTACTATAAAAATTAGCTGGCCAATCATTTTTTTTCCTTTCTATCTCAGTTAAATTGATTTGAATCGATCAAGGCTACTCTATTTTGTTTAGTTGTTCTGATTTGTCATTTCTTTTATTCCTATTTATTATCAGCTTAATCAAAGCTCCAGAAAAATCTAATTCTTTTTCCTATATATTATTAGTACAGATGTTACCTTAAAATAATGGTTCCTGATCCTAAACTATGAAATTTAGGAAATAGATAGCTCTCTTCTTAACTCAATTAAAAAAGGTACAAATTGTCTAATAAAATAGGAAGAAAAATATAGCAGCAATGAAGCTAAAAAGTAAATAGCTCTCTTTTAAACTCAATCAAAAGAAATATAATTGAAATGGATAGTTCTCTTCTAAACTCAATTAAAAAAGAAGATACAACTGGTCTAATAAAACAGGAAGAAAAATAAAACACACAACCGCAGTACTAAAATATATATATAGTTGACGAAAAAATTCTTCTCAAAAGGAATGAGAGTTTTTTTTTTGTACATGTTGCTCCATCGTATTTTAAAACAATATAATTTACACACTGAAAATTGTCAAGACTTACAAACAAGTTGTTGCCTCGTACAAGTTGGGAGTATCAAAACAAGAGGGTAGAAAAAATGTATTTCAAGAGACAAAAATCTAAGGATGTTAAATATATGGTTGTTCCATATAAATAATTCAATCCGTATTTCATGTTTTATTGAAAGTGAATTAAAATTGCTAATTACTGATCAAGAGGCATCCACTCTAATTCTACTTCTAGTTCCCCGGATTCAACATTTTGGAGCTTCAATGAGATCTCCTGTTTCACCTTCCCATCAACAATGTTTATGATGCTATCATCTATAAGAGCATTGTCATGTGATTTCAGCCATTTTCCTATCTGCATATTTCCAAACATTTCTGGGTCTCCAAAGGCCATTGCTGATGTTATCAATGGCTGGATGTCAATCTCTGCTTCCCCCATTATGTCATCGGCGGAAAACGTGTCATAATCAAAAACACTCTGCAAGGCATAACATCAAAAGGTATTACAAATAGGTTTCTATAAGAAAATTTTGAATAACCACGAATTTATTTGTTCATTGATAGATAAAGACGAACGGATTAATTTATTGAAGGTATAGCAAATTAGTTTCAGCAGCAACAATACAAGTATTTGTCTCTTTACTCGAGATAATCAGGGAAGTAGTGGTTCATAAGTAACGACAAAAACACAAGTACTGAATCCAATAACTTGCTTGTGCCTTCGAAATGCATACATGAACACAACCCTTCCTCATACTACTACTGTATATAGGGCCTGTGCATGCAACATTAGCTTAAGGAGAAAAATACATAAGCAAATAGTTAATTTAATAAAGCACCGAAAGAGCTTTACTTTTGTAGCTTGGGATCTATTACTGGATGAAAAGAAAAGTTGATTGTAACATCATAAAAATTATAAACAAACTTACCAACTTTATGGGCCCAAAATCATCTGGAACAGATAGCATGAGCTCTTCATTCCATACTGGATTCAAGTTGCTCTTCATCGCAGTGGTTTGAACAGTCTATTAACACAAAAGCACATTTTATCATCAACGAATAGCATCAAACACATTTTATCTCTAATTGGTGCCAAAGATCTGAATCAGACTTTACAAATAGAAATTATTATGTGAACCTGTCTCAACCAAGAATTTTCATAAATATAAAATAAAAAACAAAGAGTCAAATTTTACTAACCTGTTTCCCAAGAGTAAGAACCACATAAGGATCACTTGACATCATATCCCTGATAGCTAAATTTGTACCCTTTTTAACTTTAACCTTCAATAATCCAATAAATTCTACCATGCCTTCCTGTAACAATTTCAACAATTTCTCAATGTTATTTAAGTATGAAAGAGAAAGTAAAGATAAAAAAAGATAAAAACAAAATTTACCGATTTCTGTGAGACGCTCGGAATTTGAAAACTATCAAAAAACTTTGTGGAAAAATTTGAATTGAGAGAAGATGAGGAAGTCTTTCCCGATGTGATCCGCAAACTAGGTTTCAAAAATTCTTGAAGCTCATACTTTGACCTGTGAGAATGGAACTAACATATGTAAACACTATTAACATCAAATCTATGAATATTAGAAACTTTCTTGAGGTAACCCCATGCAAGATCTAATCTGCAATAAAAGTGAATTAATCCATCTATATAAGTTTTACAATTGTAAGAAAAAAGAAAGAAAGGTTAGAAAGTTGTGTTAAAAGACAATTCATTTCTAACCTGATGAACCTCACACGCTCCTCGTGACTGGAATCTGGTCCTGGCTTTGAAACTCCTTCAGGTAAAAAGGCCTCATAAATTGAATTAGCAGTTGAATTTCCTCCAACTTCGATCATGGCATCGATTTCATCGTCAGACCATTCATCCAAAGTCACAGATAAAACCTATACAATCAAAATTGATCATGTTCTAAGGAGAAGAACCACCAGCTTAAACACAGAGTGAGATAAGTTGTAGGCATCATAAAGACATCAACTGCAGTTCATATTTAAAATGCAGGCAAATACTTACATCCAGGTTTTGTGGGGAAAAAAAGAAAAAGAAAAAGAAAAAAGAAACAAAACACATAAAAGGCTGATCTTATTTCATTTTTTACACTCAAAACTTAACTAACAATCATTGAACAATAAAAGAAACATGAGAGGTCAACTATTTATGTGATGGCTAATTCATAAGCTTTTATGAGCATTTCAGATTAAAAGCCTGTTTGGTCCCCAACTTTTCTAGCTTTCACTACTTTGCATTAAAGTAAATCAGCTGAAAGTTTCAAGTAAGTGTTTGGTAAGCAACTTTAAATTTCATTGCTTAACTAAAAAATAGAAGGTGATTCCACTTATAAGGCCTGTTAGGTTTCACTTTAAAAAGCATGAGGAGAGATGTTTTTTGAGTGCAATGCTGCCTTTTTTTTTAAATGACAAAAAATAGGCTTAATTAATTACAACTTATAAAATTTTCAATAACATGTTTATCTTGATATCTATTGCAATATTCCCATTATTATTATTTTACATTCTCAACATTACATCCCCAAATATAAGTCCTATAAATTTTTATTAATTGCAAAATTGTAATTAATTTTTATTTTGTGTGTGTGTGTGATGATAATCAACATTTTATCTTGTTATATTATTCATGATACAAAATATATTAAATTAATGTGATATTTAAAATCTAAAAACAAACTTTTTTTATTATTATTAATTTAGCTTTTAAAATCTTATAATAAAGTTATATGCTTTATGGTCATTTTAATTCAAATAGCGCATTGCTCAAGTAGAGCACTATAGTTCATTACCAAACAATTTAATTGTTTTGCTTCACAACACTACACAACAATCAAAGTAAAGCACAACACAAAAATAGCCAAACTGGCTCTAAATAATTTGCAGCTGCTGTCAAAGCCAATGAAACTAAGAAGCCCCATGTATAAAACAAGAGACTAATTGAATCCAAGAAAGAACAGAAATGCGGATTTTAGTTTTTCTTCATCCAAATATGCTCCAGGGACAAAACACATATCCTAATTTATTCTGGATAATTCAACCTTCATTTTGTGCTTTTGTAATTCCGGTCGGTCTTTCTATTTCAGCGCCTAAGTTTTGATTTTTTTTCCCTGTTTAAGTGCCCCAGTCACTTGAGAGTATAAATTACTGATGTGTTTGGAATTGACCGCCACATGACACTAAAAATGCCATGTGACCACTCTAGCCGGACACAACTGCAAAATTATGTCTCAAGTGATTTCAAGTACCAAAACAGAAAAAAAAATCAAAGGTTGGGTGGCCAATCATTAGAAATCAACAGTTGAGCACCAAAAAAAAAAAAAAGGCACAAAAAAAAACCTTCTTCTCCCCTCAAGTACATAAACTTATAAATCACCAAATGATTGCAGCCATGCATGTCAGAAGCATTTATTGCAAAAAACATACATGGCATATTCGTTGCATCTTATGATGTTTACAAATCACATTAATAAAACACGAAAAATAATTAAATCCATGGTTTTCTCTATTTTAATTTTATTTTATTTGGTTCTTTATGCTCTTTAACTCATTTCAAGAAGAACAAAATCCACAATCTCATTCCATCAAGAGTGGGTCATAAGTGAGCCCAGGTGTCATTCGCCTAGGTTTAGTTGATTTATATAGAAATGTCTCAAATTGTGAGCCAAATGCAACAAAATAAAATATAAGGAAAAAGACTGTAATGGGATGAGTATTTGAATGTTATGGAATTTTGATTTTCAATGATTTTTCTTGGTTTTTAGAACTATTTAGTAGGTTTTCCTATCCCTATCAAGATCACGACTTTCAATGTTTTAGTTTCCTACAACTATAAGAAATTGATTTTTCACTTTATTATTTGTTTTCAGTGCCTATAATTAAGTGCCCTAGCTACACATTCAAGTTATGTAAAATGCTTTGATTCTTTAGTAAAATCATTTTCTTAAGAAAGTGACTAGTGCTGTCATTCGGATTTCATCAATTGGTTCTGGATTTCATCAATTGGTTCGACATTAATTCTTACCTACCTTAATATCTAACATCTAACAAATAATACTAATATAAGAAGTGAATATGTTGTATTTTTCCCTTTCCTTTAAGATAGGAGCATTCCCCTCCCGTTTGTGCGAGATCTATCTTTTCAATTTCTAAGTTAGATTTTCTTTGTTGTTCTTCACTACGAGTTGGTAAATTCTAAATAGTCCTTTATCCTTTTTTGTTAATATTTTCTTTTATTGCCTTCTTTTCTGAATTCTTTATCTCTATTTGTTTTCTTCGTTATCCTTACATTATCTACACTTCTATATCATTGTTTCCAATCCTAGGCTCTAGTCTAGGGTTGTAAATTATATTGAGTCATGAAGGCTGATGTTAATATCATCCTTCGATCTGAATTGAATCAGATACAACAAGTTTGCAATTGGAGCATGTATGAACAACTTCTAGCTCACAAATCTTTCAAAAGCACATTTGTGGAAAAGAAAGCAGATGATAGGTTGTTCATGTTTCATTTTCCTCAAGATGCCACATCAGAGATAAAACCAGGACAGCAAAGCAAGTCGAATGTTAATGAATCCTATTTCTATGTGAGATCATCACTTTTACATTCAAAGGAGAAGGCTAAGGTGTTAATCACTTAAGTTTCTTATTTTTAATTTTATTACTCTTATACATGCTAGAAAAAGCACTATAAATTTTATATTTCCAATGAATCTATTTTTATGTGATTTTATGAGTATAGAAGTTATTATATATGATTTTCTAATTTAAATTTTTATATTATTTTTAAAGGGAATGAAGCGTTTGAAAGCTATTAAATGTCATTTTCTAATTTAAATTCTTATATTATTTTTAAAGAGAATGAAATATTTTTGTTGAAATATTTAAAATATAAAATATGCATGATTTAGTAAATAGAAAAAAACATTTTTCTGTAACTTTAATGTAAATAAGACAGTGTAAGGATGAATGTTACTTATTTTATTTTAAACTAAAAGTACTTAAAAATATGTCTTATCTACCATACCAAACACAAATCAGTTTCGTCCCTAATGTCCCGCCTCTCACTGTCTCGTCTCTATTGTCATGCCCCTTTTGTCTTGTAAACCATTCCAAACCTAACCTAAGTGTATTATCATGAGTTAACTTCTCCCTTACTAAGCCATAGGATGCTTTATTGGAGGACAAAATAACTGTTTTTGAAGTACTCATTGTATTGTATGCTCATTATTTAATGAAATTTCTATTTTTTTTTTAAGTTCTACATTAGATATATTGAATCAAATACTCAGTAGAAGGGCCCTAGAAGATGGTTGACGATAAATAGATTATATAGTTTCATTTCAAAGCTGAAACATTGCCAGTGCAAGTAAATATTGTCAATCAAGTTGCAAATCGTAACCAACTGGATTATACTTCCCTAAATCAATTGGTTCATAACATTAAGAAAATAAAATTAGATGCAATATGGAATAGTTACCTTCGAGATATGTGTACCAAGGCTTCTGTGTACACCACAACATTTTAAGCATATGAAAACTCCAATATTTGCTGATCTGGAGGAAAGAAAATTACAATTTTTTTGAAAATGCACGCTCATAAAATAAAATAACCAAAATTTCTCATTCTTAATATCTCTTTAATTTAAGTGGTTAATTCCCCATAAACATATGCACAAAATGTCACTTTTCAGTTTGCTAATAAAGTGCACATTTCAACTCTGTTAATATACATATTCACAACCGTAAGGTATTCACATCATTCAACTTACGCCCACTTAGGATCAGGAGCGCCACAATCAGCACAAAAGCGATTATCACTTTGAAGCAATAAATCTTTTAATCTTCTTTTACCTTTGCAGAAAAAAATAACAAAATGCAGCGATTAAGTATATAGAATAGATAAGAATATCTTTATAAAGCAATCAAATAAATTGATACTGAAAATGGCAAAAAGGTGGGAAGAACAGATGGAATGGGAGATATTACGGTCATTAAAAAAAGAGATAAAAGATAAGCTACTTTTTTGCAGAACATAGAACAAAAAGTATTGAATCATACATACTTATTGATCCCGCAAAAATAAAAGTGTCCAAGTTCCAACAGAAACAAATAAAAATACATGTTGGAAATGATTTATCATATTTCATCAACAAAAGTAGGGAGGAGGGTGAAACAAAAACAGAACAGAATCATTGTGAACAATCTGGGAGCATTATAATTCCTCCTCTGCTCATTTCTCACATCTAACAACAGTATGGTTTTAATTTCATATAATACTGTCAAGATGTATATTAGCTGTAATCATCATTATTATTATTATTATTATCTTCTAGATATTAGGGGTGTTAATGTTATCCCTTAATTTGAGAGACTCTAGTTATGCTTATCTTTATCCCTAGATCGGGTAGTTTCCTACTCGACTCTATGACTCATTGTATATATATTCTGATGCATTGTAACCTACGTAAGAGTGAATATATAATTTTTCCTCTCAATTTTCTTCAACATGGTATCGAGCCTTAGGGTTTCTTTGCTGAAATTCTGCCACTGTACAGCCTTCATTGCTGTCAGTTTTCTTCAGTTTTTTTTTCCACAGCCTTGATTGCTGTAATTTTTCCATAGTTCTTTTGTTTCTAAACCTTTTGTTCCTTCAGTATGTCTACAACTGAAACTTCCATCTCGGAGGAAGTAAATTCTGTCCAAAAACCCGGTGAGTTACAAAACATTAGGGCCTCCTATCGACTCAATGGAAAAAACTATCCGAAGTGGTCTCAATTCATTCGTACATACCTAAAGGGTAAAGGAAGACTTAGCCATATCACAGGAAAGGGACCAGAAAAGAAAGACCCAGCATTTGAAGCATGGGATGAAGAGGATTCAATGATTATGTCCGGCTTTGGGACTCGATGAATCCTACCATTAGTGACACCTGCATATTTCTTGCTTCGCAAAGGAGATTTGAGAGTTCATCCGGCGTACCTACTCAAAGGATCGTGATGCAGCCAGAATTTATGAGGTAAAAATCAAAACTGGGGCAGCAAAACAAGGAGATAAAACCGTTACAGAATATGCCAATATCCTGCAGAATTTATGGCAGGAACTTGATCATTATAGCATATTTGAGATGAAGTGTGCGAAGGATGCTGCAATCTCAAAGAATTTTATTGAGAAAGATCGGGTGTATGATTTTTTGGCTGTTTGAACCCGGAATTTGATCAAGTAAGAGTCCGGATTATTGGCAAAGAAGAGATGCCATCATTGGAAGAGACAATTTCGTTGATTAGAGCAAGAGGAAAGCAGTAAGAAACATTATGCTCGAAGTCCCAACAACGTAGGGTCCGCACTAGCAACAAAAGGAGATCAACAAAAGAGAGGGAGGACCGACAAATATCCCCGGCTGAAGGATAACAGAGACAACATGTGGTGTACATATTGTAAGAAGTTGAGACATACCAAAGAAAGATGCTAGAAATTAAATAGTAAACCACCAAGTCATGAGTGGGGAAACCGTGGAGGGCAACCAAGGTTCCAGCAAAAATCTCAACATCAAGCTCACTCAGCAGAACAAGTCAATGAGGAAGTAAAGATGGATAATGGTGGATTCAATAGTGTGGAGATAGAAAAACTGAAAAACTTGTTAAGTTCCTTTGAAAAACCATTCGAGGCTTGTTTATTGGCTCTTTCAGGTAAGTCTTCATTCTCCACTTGCATGTATGTCTCGGATACAACCTATAATAATTCATAGATAGTTGATTCCGGAGCCACGTACCACATGGCTCATTCATCACAATTTTTCCATACCTATAACCCCCGCCCTAGTAATAGGAAGATCATAGTGGCAAATGGATCCTTGGCTACCGTTGCAGGTGTAGGAAACATTATGGTTACACCTACTCTCACTCTTAAAAATGTACTCCATGTGCCAAAATTATCAACCAACCTAGTGTCAATCAAAAAACTTACTCATGATCTTAAATGCTTTGCAATTTTTCCTCCTCCTTACCGTGTTTTGCAAGATCAAGACTCGGGGAGGAAGATTGGACTCGCTAAGGAAAGGAATGGCCTCTATCATCTGGATTCTTCTCGGAGTATTATGAATAATTTGTCCGTGTCTTTATTTAGTTCTTCCAATAAAAAGACCATTTGGCTCTATCACCTTCGTCTTGGTCATCCTACATTTAGAGTCCTTAAATTCATGTTTACTAACTTGTTCAAAGGATTAACCATTTCGATTTTCATTGTGAAATTTGTGAGTTGGCAAAACACACTCGTATATCTTTTCCTATCGGTAATCAAAGAAGTTCTAAACCTTTTCATTTGATCCATAGTGACATATGGGGCCCTTCTCCCGTTTCAAATATCTCTAGTGCTAGATGGTTTGTTACCTTTATAGATGATTGTACTCGAGTTACTTGGCTTTATTTACTCAAACAAAATTCGATGTTAGCATTGTTATCCCTACTTTTCTTTCTATGATTCACAATCAATTTAGGGTCAAAATTAAGAATTTTAGGTCGGACAATGCTAGGGACTACTTCAACCACACATTGACTCCATACTTTCAACAACAGGGAATCATTCATGACTTCTCTTGTGTTGACACACCTCAACAAAACGGGGTAGCTGAACGCAAGAATGGGCACTTACTCAATGTGGCTAGGGCCTTGCTTTTTTAGGGAAATGTTCCAAAATCTTATTGGGGGAGGCCGTCCTCACAGCCACTCATATGATCAATAGATTGCCCTCTCAAGTTTTATCCTATAAAAGTCCCATGGAAGTCCTCAATACCTTTTATCCGGAGTTTCGAATTTCTAATGGACTCATTCCTAGGGTATTTGATTGCACGACCTTTGTTCACATTCATAGTCATCAAAGAGGAAAGTTAGATCCTCGAGCACACAAGTGTGTTTCCCTTGGTTATTCTTTTACACAAAAAGGCTACAAGTGTTATAATCCTCTCACTAAAAATTTTTATGTTTCAACTCGATATCATTTCCACGTAAAACCAGCCATACTTCAAAAAGTCATATCTTTAGAAGGAGACTACATCACTACTAGAAGAGAGTACTTTTGATAGTACTTGTACTCTTGATCTCCCTAATCGTCCAAGTAGAGTCGGTTCCATCTCCCGTTCTTGGTTCTCCATTAGAGTCTCGTTTCTAATCCAAAACAGAGTCCATCATCAATTCCTAATCCCACAAAATCTAATCCGAATCCAACCCGAGTTCCGTAAATTGTATCTTCTCAAGTTTCGGATCAGGTTATTCATAACGATCCGAGATTTTCACAGGTATATACTAGAAGGACTATTCCGGACCCGCAACAAGTTCAAGAATCCTACCCGGACTCGACAAAAACCCCATGGTAAGATCCGATCTAACCCTAAGCACACGATCAGTAGAACCACTCGGTGACCTTCCCATAGCTATCGAAAAGGCAGTAGAGAATGCACCAAAAAACCTATGTACCCATTATCTCACTATGTGTCACTTAAAAACCCGTCACCAAACCATAGACAATTTATTACCAGACCTCAACACCATTTGTATCCCCACTGTTGTATTTGAGGCATTGTCAAAAAGAGAATGGAGAAATGACATGAAAGAAGAGATGGCTACTCTAGA